GACACCACACACAGACAGACAGACATGCGCACACACACACGCACATCGCTACCTAACCTTGTGTGGCGTGGATGTAGTTCTGCAGCACACGCTGGTCGCCGTGCCAGTACTCGGCCACGGTGAACGGGTTGCCCACCGACTTGATGTAGTCAATCTGGTGATCCATCGATCCATGAGTGAGTGAACCGAACCATTCACACGCACTGTCCTGTGTGTCTGTCCGTCTGTCTGTCTGTCTGTCTGAATGCCCCCCCGCCCGTCCGCATAAGTCACCTGGAACTTGGGCGCGTATCCGAGGACGAAGTCGAGCCGCAGCGTGGCGAAGCCCACCTCCTTGGTCAGCCAGTTGAGCCATTGCTGATCGACCAATCGGTTCAAGACACAGACGCAGCCAGCCAGAAAGCCATCCATCCATCGATCCATCGACGTGATGATTGTGTGTGGTTGTGTGTGATTGTGTGTTCGTTGCTGCGGCCGGCCCACCTTGACGTCTCTCTGCACTTGGGGGTTGGTGTGATCGATGTCGGGCGCATACTCGATGGTCTCACCTGCTCGCACGGCACACACACACACACATCCATCCATCCATCGATGGATGCCATGTGGTGTGGTGTGGTGTGTGTTGATGTTGGTGGTGGACGGCTACACACCAGTGGACGGTGCGCCCTTGCCGGGCATCTTGGGGTCGTTGGAGCTGCCAGCAGCACATCACACCCCGTTGATCGATCGCTGCCTGTGTCTGTCTGTGTGAAGCGATGCGGTCCCTCACCAGATGGCCCACGATCCCCAGTCCGGCTGCTCGAACTCGGTGAAGTTGCCCGACGACCCCTTGCGCACTGCGCAACGATGGTTGACCACCTGCACAGCAAACCAAGACACACGCAATCAATCAATGCAATTCAGTGCTCCCTCCCTCCCTGTATGTGAGCATCCGTGTTTATGTGTGTGTTGTGTGCTGTGCTCACCACATCGCACATGGGCGAGATGCCGTTCTCCCTAAACATGCCGAGGAGCGTCTTGAGCTCGTCGGCCGACCCGTACTTGCTGTTGAGGTTGTACCAGCCCTGTGGCAGATAACCGTTGGCATCAACCGACTGAGCCGGCGGGGGAAGCCACACCTAAACCACCACCAAACCACAAACCACACACACACGCGTGGACACACACACACACGCGTGTGTGGGGGGGGGCGGGGGG